AAATTAAACATCATTCCAAAAATTGAAGAAAGTACAAAAAGAATTTCCCTGGTAAACAAAAATCCTATTTTAGCAAGCAGGGCTAAATAAACTAGTGTCACTTTGTTCACAGCATTCTCTAATGCAGATGCAGTTGGTTTACAAATCAAGTAAAAAGAAGAATATTGTTCCTAGCCTCTGTAAATCTCTGTAAAATTGCATGGCACACGTGCAAAACATTACATTTCTAAGTAAAAAATAATAGAAATCAAAGAAAACTTGTTTCAGAAAAGCAATAAATAAGCCTCCATAGGTGTACGCCTGTGGGGAGTAAAACATCCATTATTTTTTTCTAGATGAAAGTAAGTTAGGTCTTTCTGACTGACTCATCAAAAGTCCTCTGGCTGTTGTCAAAAAAAGTCCCACAATGCAATGTTTGCTTATTGTCAATCCATCTGTTTCCTCTTGTCCAGTGTACAGCCACAAACAGAAAGCCACAAAAATATGGATCCAGCATCGATGGCCCCTGCTGTTCTCTCAGATATGCATCGCAGCAAAAGATGTCCACTCGTATCCGTGTTAATGGAGGGGACGAGGTGTTGGCAAGAGCCACAGCCACAGTTTGCAGCCGAGTGGGAGTGGGGGGGGGGGGGGGGGTGGCTGTTCATCCGTGATGCAGGAAGAAAGCCAGGCAGGCGATGGCCCTCGCCCTCCTGCAGTAGGCAGCACATCACATGGTCAAACAGTCAGAAGGTCACTGGTAGGCTGCCGCAGCATTCGTCCTCTCCACATTCATTGCTGTAGATGTTCCTCTTCTAGTTTTGTCTGCATTGTCTTTTTAAGATTTTCAGTGTTTCATATAGATATATATATCTGTACGTTAGCAAAGGATTCACCCCAGGTCTGGCATTTGTCTTTTACTATACATCATCCTCGAAAAAAACGCTTTCATTCTCGGGTTTACGAAAATCCATCTATTGCTTGTTTGAAAAAACATTTTGGCGTTGTCAAATGGATGTCATCAAGTGGCAAAACCCCATTTTTAGGTGACAAAAATGCAAACGTTTGTAATCTCTCCCCCTCCAGAGTGAAAGATTCAGTCATACTAGTTACAAAGTTGTTATAAATGTTCCTAATTGGCCTAGTCCTACTTCAATTTGGACGATAATAAATAAATAAATAGCATCACAAACCATCTTTCTTTCAAAATGCCAGACTGGTGTTTAACCCCCCCTTCCCTCCCCCCCAGCATCCCCTCACCGGTCCAGGCCGATGAGTAGGCGGCTCCTCTCCTCCTCCTTCTGGCTCTCGTTCTTCAGGTCGGCGAACACCTGGGTGAAGTAGTGCGGGTCGGAGTTGATCTGCAGCATCTTGGCGCTCATCAGGTTGATGATGGACAGGCAGCGGTCCCAAAACGTCTCCTTGGAGCTCTCCACCAGGAAGGGCTTCAGGGGGTAGGAGATCTCGTTGCCCATGTAAGAGTAGGACAGGTAGAGGCAGGTGAGCAGCACGGCCTGCAGCTCGTGCTCCGTGGCCACCTCGGAGGAGACCACGTCGCGGCACAGCATGTAGACGAAGACCACGTTGGCGGGGGTGATGAAGCCCTGGTCCTGCCAGCCCTGCAGCAGCAGAGAGCGGTCCACGCTGCGCAGCCACAGCACCGGGTCCGTGGGGGACAGGTGTTTGAGCCGGTAGCAGCGCCGGCACAGGAACTCCCCTAGGCAGCGCAGGAGCTCGCTGGTGGAGGCCTGGACTATCACCCTCTTCGGGGTCCCGGGGGCCACGTTGGAGGTGGTGAGAGGGGCCTTCTTCACAGAGGCCACTGTGTTGTTGGAGGCCTTGGTGAGAGCTGGAGTGCTCTGATCCTGGGCGAATGAGGACAGGTTGGCGCATGACTGGGACTTCTTCAGGTTCTCGTTGTTGAGCTGGGTGACGTTGTTCTGGTAGTTCCCGTTGGGCTGCACCTTCTTGGAGCCTTTCTTCTTGGCCGACACCGCCACGATGCGCTTCCACGGGAGCACGTTGATGAGCGAGTGGCGCTTCAGGTTCTTGTCTTTGGCGTTCTTGCTGTTCTGGACGGCCGTGTAGTGGCCCACCGTGGCCGGCCCATCCTCAAAGAGGGCCGCCTTTCGGTAGCTAGGGGACAAAGACAGCACGGTTCCCATGGTGACTGTAGGGGGGCTTCCAGGGGCTTGAGCCGCACTGGGTCAGAAGAGGGTCTGCCAGGGGAGATCGTGAGGGGCTCAGAGCCGCTATGCTGCTGGGAGCTGCAAGTCCCGGGCTAGAGGCTGCCGCTGGGCATCTAAGGCCTGGGAGGATGAGATCCTGCAGCTTTTTGAGAGGAAGAAAATCTCCTCCACTCTGCTGGATTTCAGCTGTCTGTCTGCGTCTCCTGATGGCCACTGCAGGAAGCAGAAAACATCAATATTTAGAAGAATAGCTGGCGAAGGATCAATGACTCTTAGATTATCCATAGGATCTTCAAAAAGCAAATACAATGTATCCAAGCTCAGATCAATTCTAGATGATTCAGCTTGCATGTGGTAATATCAGGGTTATCAGTTCTGTAATGTTCTCATGAATGTGTGCTTGAGTGCTTTATCTGACTGCACCTCAGGCTTATTAGCAGTATTGATTTGACTCAGTAATTGGTGGGATGGATCAGTAAAGCTTATGCTAATTAATTCAACAAAAATATAGAACCCTGCTGTTGCATGATCAATGTAATAAGCATCCTGAATGTACAAACATGTCGGTGTGATGCTGCAGCTGAAATGCATAATCTGCAATGAGCATATGAATGGTGATAATACTATGGGAGATCAAAGATGGGAAGGAATTAGTCCACATTTGATGAAAATGAGTATGATGAATGAACATATTATAATGAGAGAGACATATTGTATGGGCAATGGCCGACGAGCCACCATGCGCCACCCCCTCACTAAAATGGAAGACTGTAAACGTAAACACCTTAATAGGTGAAGGTCACCTGCTGCATATACAGTAGCATATTAAAACACAAATCCAAGGTCATTCCACCTCTATTAAAACTAGATAAGCAAACAGATGTATGATTCTGTCTTTGCACAACATGTTTTCCTCCTCGCTGCAGTATCTACTGTATGCATACGTCTCTCGATGATCGACTTTGATCGCTTGCGCAGGATCCGAGCCTCCATCTTTCATTCCATCACCCTGTTATCAATCTGATCCATCAAAAATTCCGAAACATCAGCGTTAAATGTCAATTCACTGGGTTTAAAGAGCATGTATCGGGCTTCTTGTTGTGTACATCGGGTACTCTCCATGGTGCTGAAACTGAGTGTCTGCGTCGAAATAAAAATGATGGCCGTGATAGGCGGTGGCTAAGAGATTAAGAGAACACTCTTATTTTCCTCCAATCTGTAAACATCTTACATATGGTGCTGCATTTAGCTGCCTATCTAATTTATTTCAATTTATTTCAATTTAGTTCCCTATTTCCCTATTTATATAGCCGCACATCCTCTGTGTTATGCACCAAATATATTTACAATGTGAACGCATGCAACAATATGTACCAAAATGAAAATAAACTCACCAAATGTCCTTCTCAATGAGGATATGTCGCTGTAACGACGATGCTCCGCGTCCCGAGCCTGTTTTCCTCACAAGACGCGTTAAAAGCGTAAAACCATCTCCAAGAAAAGCAATGAACCCAAGAAAATAATCCGAGTCGAGGCGAAAAATAAAAAAAGACCCAGCGGTGGAGGAACACGCCTGGTGTCGGCGATGCGCAGACGATGGGAGGCAGTTGTGGAATGGATGCTTAGATGAAGATGTGCTCCTGGTCCTCCTCGGCCGTGAGATGCGGATGCTGCGAGGGCTGATGTTGTGTTGTGTCACTGGCTCAGTGAGGAGGACTGTCGGAAAGGCGGTGGTGGGGCGCCGCCCTGCGCTCTGTGCGCGCTGCTGCCTCTGCTGGATACCACTCCGCCTATAGAAGAAGCACAGCATGCAAACTGAACCCGCTGAACTCACAGGATGTTTTTCTTCCTGACACCATTATCACCAATAACCCAATTAACAGCATCCACATAAGCACCAGTTGATAGGCAAGATCGATCGAAGCATACTGAGTAGTACTTTGCAGGCGATTGTGCGATTTTAATCCCCGGATTGTATCTCATCATATAGGCTACTGTATTGATATGTTCCTACAGTCCTCAGTGGGGGCGTGCCTGTATCTGTGCCACTCCAATATGAGATAGCTTATCAGACCAATGCATCATTTAATTGTCAGATTGTGTTTCTTTATTCAATTTGTAATAATATCCTCATATAGACCCCAGATAAATATATACATATTAAAATTGTTGTTAAATTGTTCCGTCTTGGGGAATCACCGTTGTGGATTCGTCGGATGCTGAAGTTTTATCATAATGTATGGCTATATGGTTTCAGAGGAGTATTGCATCTCGCTTTAGATGACTCAATTCTTAAATAAAAACTGAAAACGTGAAATTGTGTCACATTATCAAGAAAACTATTGAATTGTGGCTTTTGGTAAGCATTTGGGCACGTAGGCCTATCTTTTAAAAATGATAGGTCCCTGTTTTGTAACCCAAATGATTTTTGATATTTTCTGATATTCACCTTGTTGGCCTTTTTTAAAGTGTTCAGAAATGTATACGCTAATACAGTCTATCTATATGCCAATTATTGGTTTGTTCTTTTTAAAAGGTTTTTAAAAGCACATAGCTTACCTAAGGAATTACATGTGTCGATACTAGCAGGCACATCCATGTTTTAGGCTATAGCCTACATCCTCTGCGATGAGTAACATTAGGCTACATGAAATAATTCCACCGGGTTTATATTGTCCAACTAAATCAGGAAATATGACTCCTAAAAAGGATAATCGACAACAAATTACATATACCGTTATATATAGGCTACACGCTTTGTGGAATTACAGTTTTTCATTGTGACTACATTTCCCGTTTGCCTTTATATCCCAACATGCACGATGTCGTCACACACACACGTAAGGTAACGTAGTCCCCTCACGTAATTTTCATTCAGGCAGCATTTGAATAAGGAAGATGGCGGCTGCAGCAGTGGTTGAGTTTCAGAGAGCCCAGTCTCTCATTAGCACGGACCGCAACGCCTCTATCGACATTCTCCACTCAATAGGTAAGTGTTCGTCCGAGGTTTGAGATGGACACGTTTGATACCGAAATAATGTCTCGGTCAGTGTTCAGGCGGCCCGGTTAACATGCTAGCTAGTGGCGTTGAATAGCAAGAGCCGGTGGTGTGCCTTGCTGACTCACTGTTGAACGCTGGGTAACGGCAAATGCTAGTGGATTTTAGCTAGTTAGCGCGTTAGCACCTATGCTAACTCTAGGCCTGGGCGTGAAATGTGTTAGTAGTTTTCACAAATGTTACATTTTTTGACTGTGTAATTGGGTATTGTGTTGCTGCGTCATTGACCACAGTTTCTAATATAACTATCATTAGCTCAACTTAAGACTGTCATGTTAGCATGATTGCTGTTCAGGCTAACGTCTTTAGCTTGTTGTCAAAAGCCTTTAAACCATTTCGTCAACACAGTGAAAAGAAGCTTTCTAATTCAGTACAATAACCACTACCATTTTTTTATTTAATGGTTGCTAAATGGCCATGGTTTGTTTGTGTTATTTGTGGCGCATACACGATCTTATGGAAATTGCACAATAATGTAAGTTACTGTAAACAGGTCTTACATTTCCTACAGGCATCACTGTCCTCAAATTGCCTTGTCACTTCTGTCCATTAGCTGTCAAACTATCCGGCTACATCTATTAATCCGCTCACATAATTATGTCGTGACAAAGCATTGATTTTGTTCTCAGTAGTTTAGTTAATCATTTATAAGTAATTTGAGTACTTACAATTTTATATATAAGTTGTTCTTTCTAGCATAAAGCCAGACATTTGCTCATTCCACCTTTTTATTGGTACAATTGTATTCAAGCCATGGAATACTCAGGATATAAAAAAGTAAAACAATATACAGATGTAACGTTAAGGATTTGTCAACATGAAAGTTGGAGGTCATACTGGGAGACATTCATACAGAAATGTGTATTAAAGTTTGATTCCTTTTTTATGTCCTGATAAAGCAGCTGTCTAAAATGAAGATTTGTAACTGTAAAATATGTGGGTTCTGGACTGATGTTCAGACATGGAAAGCTATTTAAAGAAAAAGGAATTGGGTTAGGGTGACTAATGTAAAATGTGCCTACAATGAGTTGTTATTTTCATCATCCATAATTGTCATAATAGTAAGGAGACCCAACATTAAGTTATATTGAGGTAATGCAAATAAAACAGATTTTATAGGATTACAAACAGTATCAAAACAGAAGTGAGTAAGATCATGTTTAAAAGTCTCTCACTGATTAAATGAGTGTATCGCTGTGGCACCCACACCGTTTAAAATGTACACATTGCATTAGGTTAGGATAGAATAAGTAAATTGGTTTCTGTTGTCAACTGGTTGTCTTTCTTTATCAGTGAGGAGAGATATCCAGGAGAACGATGAGGAAGCTGTCAGGGTTAAAGAGCAGAGCATCCTGGAGCTGGGGACGCTGCTGGCCAAGACGGGACAGGCTGCCGGTAAGGATCAACTTTGATTTCCATTCTGTGTCTGTCTCTACTTAACCCAGAAACCTAATGGAACTTATTCTATGTTATGTATGCAATCTCTGAAATGTGTCTCTCTTTTTGTCTACAGAACTAGGTGGGCTGCTGAAATTTGTGAGGCCTTTCCTGATTTCCATCAGCAAGGCGAAGGCGGCCCGGCTGGTCCGCTCTCTGCTGGATCTCTTTCTGGACATGGAGGCAGCGACAGGACAGGAGGTGGAGCTGTGTCTTGAGTGCATTGAATGGGCCAAGACAGAGAAGAGAACCTTCCTACGACAGGCTCTGGAGGTAAAGAGGTCTAGAAAAACCTTGTGGGTGCTTTCTAATGGAATATATGAAGCTTAATAAGCCATATGATGTTCTCCATCATTAATGTGTAGACCTCAAAGCTAGACTCTGACAATAGGGATGTTTTTCCTTCTGTCAACCATCAACACCCATATAATTGGATATCACTAAAATATTATAAGGGTTTCGCAACAACTTATGTGCACCAATTAGGCTCTAAAGTGTTTATTATTTGCCTTATCTTTGAGACCTTGATTGCTGATGAGGCAGAAAATGGGAAACAACCCCAGCTAATATATCCGTCCTCTCTCCTTACCGTGATTAGCGCCAACACACGACACCTTTAATGATTAATGATAGTATAAACAAAAGCGATATCCCCAAACATGAATAGCAGCTGTGAGAGGAATCACATTTGAACATTTCCTGACTCAGGGAGTGGGAGACGCTTTGATTTCAAACATATTATGGTGGAGGAACTTGCTAAATGTGATAAAGCTTGTGACGAGTTGTAAACTTTGCATTACGAAAGTAAAAAACAAAAGATGCCAACATAGCTACTACACACTGCCATATACGATGACGTCACCTTGCTTCATAGCAAAATGACTGCCAGCACACTCACAGCCAGGAATATCTGGAGCTTTTGGCTCAACAACATCTTTTATTACTTTTATGTATGTATAAAACTATGTAATGAAAGTGCCATGTGTGAGTAAGTGAAATCTGAGACGAGGGACGCTCTTAAGACAAGCCACGAGGACAAACATAAGTTATGTGATGGGAGTAATAAAAGAAAAAGTTGAATAGCACTGTGAATACCATTCAGGAGTCCTCTTGTGATGTACTTGGATAAGATTCAGCTTAAAATAGTTAAACACTGTCCTTCAACAGTAGCCTCAGCAGACAGCAATGTAATGCCGCTTCACAATTTTGCATAGATCTAGCTACCGCCAGTCCTTTAGCACTTTCCCAAACTGCTTTAGATTTTTAAAAGGCCAGTATCTAAAACGTGCCTTTTCCATCATGTGGGCCAAAATGCCAGTAATATCATTTAGTGTGTAGAGCATGATCAACGACCAAACATCAGGTTCATGTTGGTTTCTACCTGAACAGGGGCTTCAAATGAAAATGAGCTCTCAGCTTAATCTATATATGTATGGGATTTATGTTATTTAGTTTTGTTCCTGGCATTACATGTCATTAATTTGTAATGCTTGTTGCAATCTCGGTTTATATCAAGACACTGTGAATGTGTGGGAGTAGAGTTATAGGGTTGAATGGGAAAACAAGCAAGATGTGTGGAATTTGAAGCCCATTAGGCTGCTCTTCCTAGGCCTTTACAAATATTCTGTAAAGATGAATAATTGCAATTATAATAGGTTTTACATTTTTAAGGAATTATATAAAAAAAAACGATTATCACAAACCAAGTTCAGACTTCTAAATGCCGAGTAGGTCAAAGTTATTTTTGGTGTAACATATATCCTAGAAGTGTGTTTGGTCTTGCTGGTCCATGCTGCATGTTGTGCCTTTAATATGCTCGTCTAATGGCACACCTTGTTCTTTCAGGCTCGACTGATCGCACTCTATTTTGACACCAAAAGATACCCGGAGGCCTTGGCACTTGGTGAGTGTTTATGGAGACAAACCCTGTTTCCCCCTTTGCTCTAAAGGAAGCATAGTTCTCTGCTCCAGACACTGGATGGAAAGGCATGCATTGCCATAATGTGAAAAATCACCCAGAGGAACAAAAACTAAAAAGATATCCTCTCTAGTTGCAATTTTATTGTATTGAGTGTTAAAAAGTTGTGGTCCTTCTTGGAACATATGTGGTATATTATGTTTTAATAATAATGCATTACATTTTTTTATTAGAGCGCTTTTACAGGTGCTCAAAGCGCTTTACAAGTACACATATTAGACAGGTAAGAGCCATTACTGTGGACATGACCCACAGGAGCAAATGCGGTGTCTTGCCCAAGGACACAACGGCCTGACGCTATGGCGGCCGAGGCGGGTTTCGAACTGGAGTTCACCAACGCCCCTTGATCTGATGATCAACCTACCGTAACCGTTTTAACTTAAAATGAGAGGAGAAAGAACAGCACATATCAGACTACTATTGTAGACTTACCCCCCAGCTGTTTACCGAGTTGTTGCAACAGTTAATGTTCATCACATTAACTTTGGTTTATTGTACTACCCACAGGCACCCAGTTGCTCCTGGAGCTGAAGAAGATGGATGACAAAGCTCTGCTGGTGGAGGTGCAGCTGCTGGAGAGTAAGACGTACCATGCTCTCAGTAACCTGCCCAAGGCCCGCGCTGCCCTCACCTCAGCCAGGACCACTGCCAACGGCATCTACTGCCCCCCCAAGCTCCAGGCCGCTCTGGACATGCAGTCAGGTCAGACCTGTTCAATATGCTCACTTAATATGATTACCTGGGCTAAGGTCTTCCAGTTTCAGTGTGTCTGTATGGGGAAACATATATCAAATAAGAATTGTATTTTCTTGTGATATTTCTGAATGCTAAATTACACAAATCAATTCCACAATAGGCAACCCTTGTTGACTGATCATTAAGCATTACAAAACAAGATGTGTGCCTTGTATGCAGGAGTGGTCTTAAAATAAATTGTTAAATGTTGATAACATTTTAATAGAGAAATTGTGGAATGTTTTTGCACAGGTGTATTCAACTATTTAGTTCTTATTTAGCATGTTTTCATTATTATGGGGCCATAAGGTTTGTAGCAAGATGAGACAAACCCTTTCTCTTCTCTGGTAATCCCACTAGGGGGTGCCAGACAAGTCTGTAATATAATATTACATTATACAGCTCTGAAAAACAATTAAGAGACCACTGCAGCATTATCAGTTTCTCTGGTTTTTACTATTTATAGTTATGTGTTTTTAGTTTATTCTATAAACTACTGACAACATTTATCTCTGTTGTAATTCAACAGACACTGGAAAGGAGTGGCTGCCATGCATGTACAGATTGAGATTTAATACAAATTAGGAGTGGTCTCTTAATTTTTTCCAGCGCTCGATCTCATTCAGCCTACTGTATCCATGGTACTAGCGTACACTTAATTATGGTAGACATTCCTACAGGAGCAATTTTGGTAGACGCCCATTTAACCCCTGCACGAGTTCAAATTTTAAACAATGTTATTATTTCCAAAATACTTTAAATGGGTTAATATATTATAATTGGTACGATACAAAACCTTCTATGAAGTTCTTTACAGCTGCTAGAAAAATGTATATCCCTGTTCTAGAGTGATTGAGTGTTCTTTTATGCTAATAACCATCTCAAAGTCACAGAGTTGTGACAGTGTTTAACAGTGAACGCAGACAAGCTGGGATAATATCATAGTTATTTATGACTGTATAACCAGGGGTGCACATAACTTGTTTGCCCTGGTTCTCAAAGGAGCACCTGGAGATGTTGCTTGGTGCTCATCCTTAAAATGAAATAAATAAACCGGTCTTTATTTGTCAGACACACGGCACAGAACACACAGAGGTGAACACAGAACACACATGCAGAGGTGAATACAAGACAACATTAGCGTGACCAGTAATCCTACAAGCTGTCGTCACTACCCTCCTGACTGTTCTCCTCACTGTCTTCCTCTCTGTCAGACATGGTAGCTGATGATGTAGGCCTACTACTTTCTCTCTGGTTGAGTCTGATTAGCTGCTTGCATCCACAAGTCAACAGCTGGGTTTGGGTCGAAAGCCCAGTTTTAAAAGGATATGTTTGGTTACTGTCCTATAGTATACATTGGAATGATTTCAAACCTGTTTTATCCCAATAATTATAAAGGAGTGCCTTGAAAATATGTTTATATAAATTGTGACCAAACCGTTTGAACTTAGACTAAAGTGAACTATCTAAACACTCAGAGTCTTTACCTCACTGAGCTGTAGTATCAGCCTCTCAGTCTGACTGGAGAGGACTCTCCCTCCACATCATTGTAGAAACATCTTCTTCTTATATCCGTTAGAGCAGCTAGCACCAGATTCTAATAACAACAGCGCCGGTACCGGGCGGTGCGCCCTTCTCTCTCTCTCCCTCACTCACTCGCATTTTGGCTGTGAGCTGCGGGCGCCAGATAAGCCAACATCCCCCATTTTCATCACTTACAGCGCCCATCGTACAGGGCAAATGAAAGGTGGAACCGGGGTGAAAAGGGTGTTCCATTTACTTAATTATGAATATTGTTACATCAAGGCCGAAAATTAGGATGAGCACCAACGGTCAAAAATGTTTTTTTCCCTCCCAGAACTACCAGCGCAGCGCCTCCACAGATCTGGCGCCCTAGGCGAAAATCAACGCCAGTGCGACGGGCCGGCCCTGAGTTCATATGCAACTCTCAAATATCTTTCTCTCTCCTCTCTTCTCTTTCCCTCTCTCTCAATGTTGGTACGCAAATGCGCCTTTTTTCAAATGACCCGGTGCTCTTTTTTTGGCCGAGGTGCGCACTTGCGCACCAGTTATGTGCAGCCCTGTGTATAACACACAGTGAACAGGAAGGAGAGGCAGCTTGCAGCTAATTGTTTTGGAATATCCAACATTATTTATTGCGATCTTGTCTGGTCAAAACCCAGTGAAAGCCAGCACACAGTGGTTCTATTTCGTCCCTACTGACCGCCAGAGGCGGTGCTTTAAGCACTGGATATGTCCATCGCGTGCATGCGCAGCTCGAGTACCAATAACAACAAAGTCACCTGTGACCCACGTATCAGCCGGTGTCATCAGAGGATCGGTTCCTTTCATCTTCTGGCTGCGCGAGAGTACCATGGCTACATTTTTGTAGCCTACAGCGTTCAGGTTTGAACGTTTGATCTGAGGGATTGCGCTGCAAGCAGCTGGCCGCGTGCAGCTTCGCGACTGACAAGTCGGAGCTACGGGTTGTTAACGCGTCCTCCAGGAGCTGTGGCCGGCTGTGCGCTGTGCAGAGCCTCGACGGACAGGTTTGTATCAACTTGTTGCTGGTGATGGCTGTGTCCCGCACCCTCTCCCAGCCAAGTTGTCCTGATTGCCGTCTTATTTTTTGTTTGGCTTAGACTTTCTGGTGACAACAGTGTTCCCGCTTCCTCTCCCATAAAGTTGCCCTTATGCTCTTTTGAAAGTTCTGCTTGTGGAGTTGTGCCCGAGCTATCATTAGCATTTGAGTCCCAGCTTTGGCTGTGTCCCTCATTCAATTTAGTATGGAAAGCCCAGAGTGTCATATTTTAAACTCGTTTTTCGTTTAGATGCAGAGAGTAAGGTAAGTACTTTCTATTTCTTAGAAGCTATTATCTGGTCTTAACATTGTGTTCTGACTTGGTTGCTTGATTGTTAGCAGCAGCCGCTTGGCTAACACCTTGCATGTACTGTTAAGCTTCATTATTTAACTCAGCCGGTGAGGGCAGTGCTCTCGCTCCCGCTCCCGGTAAACGCGTGGTATGGTTGCAGTAGCGCTATATCGTTGTATTTACTGCTCCTAGTACTAGACTCCTAGCACTAGGACGATATGCAGAGAACAATCTTCACTGTGTGCTGTGTGCTCTGCATGTGTGGCCATTAAGGAGGATTTCATCCTCCCAATATTATGTTATCTAGTGGGCAGCCGTTTGGCTGACACTTTTAGGCACCGGCCACAGTTACTACTGTAACTAAGGTTCTAAGCCGTAAGTACTGGCCATAATTACTACGGTTCCAAGCCGTGTAAGTACTGGCCATAGTCAATACCGTAACTACGGCTCTATGCTGTGTAAGTACTGGCCATAGTTACTACTGTAACTACGGTTTTAAGCCGTAAGTACTGGCCATAGTTACTACTGTAACTACGGTTTCAAGCCGTGCAAGTACTGGCCATAGTCAATACCGTAACTATGGCTCTATGCTGTGTAAGTACTGGCCATAGTTACTACTGTAACTACGGTTCTAAGCCATGTAGGTTAAGCCATAGTTAACAACTGTAACTACGGTTCCAAGCCGTGCAAGTACTGGCCAGAGTTACTACTGTAACTACGGCTCTATGCTGTGTGAGCACTGGCCATGGTTACTGCAGTAACTACGGCTCTGTGCTGTTCTCTTCTCTCCCAGTTATCTGGTCTTAAACATGTGTGTTATTTGACTTGATCTCGCTTGATCGTTAGCAGCAGCCGCTCGGCTAATGTCTTGCGTGTACTGTTAAGCTTCTTTATTTTACCCAGCTAGGTAAAGGCAGTGCTCTCGCTCCCTCTAATGCGGATGTAGCTACATCCCTTTTTTCTGTTCGGCGAGTAGCAGCACCGCTCTACTCTTCCCGTTCAGCAGGTAGCTGGTGAAGGCTGTGTTCCCGCACCCGCTCCCGGTTACGCTGCATCTGGCATTCGTCTCTAACTCAACCAGTGAAGGCAGTGTTCTCGCCCCCGCTCCTGGTAGGTGCTGAACTGCCTTGTCTTTCCGTTAAGCAGGTAGCTGGTGAAGGCTGTGTTCCCGCACCCGCTCCCGGTTACGCTGCATCTGGCATTCGTCTCTAACTCAGCCGGCAGTGTTCTCGCCCCCGCTCCTGGTAGACGCTGAACGGCCGTGTTTATTAATCCAGCCAGGTGAAGGCAGTGCTCTCGCTCCCGCTCTGCCGGTAACGTGGGTGTAATTACATCCCTCTTTCTGTTCGGCGAGAAGCAGCAACGCTCTACTCTTTCCATTAAGCAGGTAGCTGGTGAAGGCCGTGGTCTCGCACCCGCTCCCGGCTACGCTGCATCTGGCTACCTACAGAATGGCTCATTCATGTAGCGCCTGTATGGCTTCTCTTGAGCCCGAGGACGGCCACGACCGCTGCCCCTCCTGCCTCGGCCGCCTCTGGCGGTCAGTGGGGACGAAATTCGAGCATATGAGGGAGGTTCTCACTGTAAACGCCTGCATGAGCTGTAGCTGCATGCATCGGGCGCTCAGAGTGGCTAGAATCACTGAGGTGGAACGTCTGGCAGCAGCCAACAGACACCTCTCCTTGTCACAGCGGCTATGTGTGCTCCCCCCAATAGAAGGACTAGAAACAGGCTGTCCTCTAAAGTGGATCGGCTAGCTGCCGATAGGGGCATGATGAAGTCGCTTCTTGGCCCTTCAGCCTGGGCCCGGTGTAGGGGCTGCTAGCGGGCCGCCTGTCGTCCCCCCCCCCCCCCCCCCCGAGAGAAGATTCTGGGAACAGATCCTCTGACGACACCGGCTGATATAGCCGGTGTCACGTGGGTCACAGGTGACTTTGTTGTTATTGGTACTCGAGCTGCGCATGCGCGCGATGGACATATCCAGTGCTTAAAGCATCGCCTCTGGCGGTCATCCGGGACTCATAGAACCGTAGTTACAGCCGTAACTATCGTTTTAATGTGTGTAATCGTACATACCAGCTACTAGGGTTGCCAGAAACTGACCATGATCAACATCGATTATTCGGCAGCCCTGGCGAATAATAATCGATTAATCGACCGACCCCCCCCCTCCCCCGCGGGACAAAAAAAAAAAACTCAGACAAAAGGAACTCCGTTGTTTTCTTTACTGGAACATGTTTAACAGTACAAACAAAATAAACGACAAATAAACCCACATCAACATGATGTGGGTTTATTTTTTGTTATTTTCTAAAGTGCCTGCCATTGCCTTTATTTGGAGATGCGCTATGCGCGCACAATGTATTTATTGCAATGCTGCCATTATTAAATACAGGCTACAGCTTGTATTAATAATAGCAGCATTGCAATAAATATTATTATAGCAATTTATTTATTGCAATGCTATTATTAATACAGGCTGTAGCCTGTATTATTAATAATAGCAGCATTGCAATAAATAAATTGTGCGCGCATCTTCAAATAAAGGCAATGGCAGGCACTTTAGACAATAACAAAAAATAAACCACCATCATGTAGCCTGTATTAATAATAGCAGCATTGAAATACATTCAATAATTAGCCTATTGTTCCACGAGGAGGAACTCTTTTTACCTGCCGCTTTGTTCATCTTTAGTCGCACGTGTGAGGGAGGGTGGGGGCGGTGTGTAGCGTGCTGCAGCAGCAGTCTGCTCTGCACGCAGGCTTCCTCCAAGTTTACAGTAAAACAAACTGGTGGTGTGACCAATGGCCATTTACAATTGTTAATACTATTACTATTATTAGCATTAGTCTATATTTTGGTTGAAACTAAGCCAGAAAAAAAAAAAAAAACATAAATAATAATAAAAATATATATAAATAAAATCGATTTTTAAAAATAATAATCGATTATGGAGACTGTAACGAATAATCGCTGGCATCCCTACCAGCTACCCCCAGCGAGTTTCTCCAGATTTGTTGGTATTTCACATTTCACGGTGTCGGTTGTTTTGTTGTGACTACAGACGGTAACTCACTGTCATGCTGTGTCCTCTGTGTTGCAGGGATCATCCACGCAGCTGAGGAGAAGGACTGGAAGACTGCTTACTCCTACTTCTTTGAGGCCTTCGAGGGCTACGACTCCATCAACAGCCCCAGAGCCGTCATATCACTCAAATACATGCTTCTGTGCAAAATTGTCCTCCAAGCGTAAGTAGATCTTGAAAAGTGAATGAATTTCCATTACTTGCACACCCTCTTAGTAACTTTGAGTTATTACATTACTGACTTTTATTTCAATATGTTTATTTATCTGTTTCAGCCCAGAGGAGGTTCCAGCTCTGATCAGTGGTAAACTGGGCCTGCGATATACCGGCCGACAGGCAAGTGCTCACCTTTCTACTCATAGCAGATTGGGCTAAGCAGCAATGTCACTTTGTTCAACCTTAAATTAAAAGTAGGATTAAGAATAAATGTGATGATATATACTTTTGGGGAAAAAAGGAAATATAAGCTGCTTTTTTTCTGTTGCCTCTTTCATTCAAACAATTCTGTTTTATGTGTCTTGCAATGGAGCTTTTTGAAGTTACGTCTGGCTCTGTCTTGGTCTCCCTAAAATAAACTTGTTTAGTTCCCAGATATCTAGTTTTGTGGATGTAAATGTAATAATTTAATTACTTTCTGTTAGGGCTGTGCGATTATGGCAAAAATCATAATCACGATTATTTGGGTCAATAATTGATATCACGATTATTTTGACGATTATTCATTGACCATTTATTGAACTTTAAAACAAATAATATTTTACCAATAAACAAGATCAACAAATATGTTGGAGCGCACTTCCAAAACCATACTAAACATATATTAATATGATAAATAAAAATAAATTAGACCAAAATAAATTAAATCAAATATGTTGCAGTGCACTGTCACAACCTACTGAAAACTCCTTAACATATAGCCAACATTTTGGTAAAACATATTCAACATATTCCACTCAGTTAAACGTTGAAGGCTGGCCAACCGTCATGGTCCAGAAGTAACAGGAAATAAATGTTGAACTACAATTTAAGACCAAATAAAAATGTTTAGGCCACCATGGCAAATGCTGGTAGGGCTGCTCATGTCATCTCTTAAAGATTGTTCGCAAGAAACACCAGCCTGTTTACATGGTCTGGTTTCAGAGATGAGCGCAGGCAGGTGACGATATTGCCACCTGTACTGAAGACCCTCAGCCACGCCCCGACACATGGGGTGACGCCGGCCAATCACAAAGCTTTGATGCGTTCAAGTGCATTATTCTGGCACAGGAAGATTATGTTATAGGACATTAACGATAAAACAGAATATTGTTGTTCTATTTTTAGACACATCTCGCGATCGACTGGTTGGGCCTCCCTGGGCTAGACCATAGGTCCGTTGTGGTAGCAAAGTAGTCAGCTGAAGCCACATCTCTCTCAACTTCCCCACGGCATTTGTCACATAGCGCAGGCAGCGCAGACCTGCTGAAATAATACCGAGACGGCATCGCGTAACGCTTGTCCAACGTGTTGACAAGTTGCTTAAAGCCCTGGTTGCTAACAGTGCTAACTGGGCACATATCTTTAGCGATGTGAAATGTAATGGCAAAGTACTTGCAAATAGTGGAAATAGTTTGACCCTTCTTTTTAACGAGTTGCTGCTCTTGTTCTGACATCTTCGCTCGCGCTGAACACTCACAACACATGTCACTCCCACGTGGCCGAGTGGGCTTTTAGGGAGGGGTGAAAGCGCACCCAGCAAAATCATCGTATTTTGTCAATTATGCTGTTTTCATAATCGTCGCAAGCCGTAATCGCGATTGAAATACGATTAATTGCACAGCCCTACTTTCTGTAGAATAACATGTATCTTTTGTCTTTCCTCTTTTAGACGGATGCACTGAAGTGTGTGGCCCAGGCCTGCAAGAACAGATCATTAGCAGACTTTGAAAAGGTAAGAACTCTTTCAGTCCTACCATAACTGTGTTAAAGGTCCCATGTCATGCTTTTCTGATTATTACCCGTCCCCTTGTGTGTTATGAAGGTTTTTCTGCATGTAAACGGTCTGCAGAGTCACAAACCCTCAAAGTACACCCTGTAGCGAGTAAAACTCTAACACAGAAAAGACCCGTCTGTGCTGCCCCAGAACGCCTCGTTGGACATTTCTCTTTTTTCATTTGTTTCTTCCTGGTCATAGTGACGTAACGAAGTCCAAATGGACCAATCCGCGGAGCTCCGTACACACTCACTCAGCCTTATCTTATCGCTGTCTCGCAGACCCCACGCAGCAACCAGGAAACAACACCAGTAATACAGATCACACTGTCTGCTCCTCGAGCCCCAAAGGGCGGAGCAGCGAGCCACGCAACGTCCCGCCAACACGGCACCCAGAGCCCACGCAGCATTCTCATCTGTTTGTCATTACTGGTGTCATTTCCTGGTTGCTAACAAATGCCATTGTAACACATAATCACTGATGTTCCACTGTAAGGTGGTGGACTCATCAGAACAGAGTGGGCGAGCTGACCAATCGGAGCACACTGGGCTCATAGGGGGAGGGGGGCAGGAGCTCCAACAAGCCGTTTAGGACAGAGTGAATACACATACTATACAGAGACGCTGTATGAGAAACCAATGTGAGTTTGGAACATTGAACAATGTGAATCTATTCTAGTAGACCTCACAATGGAATTCTGATCAGTAGAAATGGCCATGACATGGGACCTTTTTAACGGATGCAGATGGGGCATGAACATCTTCATTTAGCTTTCTGCTCTCGTTTCCTTTTAAGATACTGGTCCTTTTGCTTTTTGTCCCTCACTGTTAATTTGGATGATAATACCTGCTGATAATATAATGGCCAATTGAAGTTGTTGTTAAACTGAATGGTGTGCATGTTGCAGGCCCTCACAGAGTACAGAGCCGAGCTGAGGGACGACCCCATCATCACCACTCACCTGGCCACGCTGTACGACAACCTGCTGGAGCAGAACCTCATCCGAGTCATTGAACCCTTCTCCAGAGTACAGGTAAGTCCCTGCTAGGCTTATACACTTGAGCCGTTGCTGCATTTGTTACCAATTCCTACATTTGAACTTGTTCCTGTATATCATAAAGTTGCATTCTTTCCATATTATGGGCTGACTGTGGGAATTTAATCTACCACTGTACTTATTCCTCATCATTGTTTAATGATTTGATTCTCTCCTTCTGTTTTCAGATAGAACACATATCCGGTCTTATCAAACTGTCTAAGGTATGTATATGTGCAGTTAAGAAATGTTTCCTGAGAGTTACAATCATCATTTACAGCTCGTTGAAATGAGGGTTTCATTATTCCTTTCTCTTTTTTTTAATAGGGGGATGTTGAGAGGAAATTATCGCAGATGATTCTGGATACAAAGTTTCACGGTAATAAAAATTGCCGGGTATAAAACATGTACACCTAAAGAATGGAGCAATAGTATATTCAGTGTAGTGTCTAATGTTTTTGTGACATATCTTTGCGCAGGAATCCTGGACCAAGGAGAAGGGGTCTTGATCATTTTCGACGAGCCCCCTGTGGACAAAACATACGGAGCGGCATTGGAAACAATTCAGAACATGAGCAAAGTTGTGGATTCACTTTACAACAAAGCCAAGAAGTTGACATAGGTAAAGAAATAAATCTCATTTTGAAAAAAAAATCATTGTTTTCGAGCTCGTTCTTTAGTCTTAACAATACACTTGTCTTTCATCCTCAGAGCAGATAGCCACGGCAGTGCGATGGAGGGACAGTGTGTGTTTGACCAGCGTGTGTAACATTTTAAGAAGGGGGACAAGGGAGCGCGACAAAAGGGTCCCACAAACTGCATCAAACAGGATTCCCCCATCAAACTCCCCCTTCCTCTCCCCTCAATGGACAATTTCATCACTTCTCTTGTTTGTTTTCTTCCTCTTTAATTTTGATATCTCTTCAGGATTCTGTATAACACTCAGCGGCCAAATCAGGCCATCAGGGAATATTGTACAACCACAATAAAAAGATAAAAAAGGTTTAAGAATACTATACGTTTATATCTGCTTTAAGGTCGGGCTAACTAGCCTTAAGCTGACTCCACTGCAGCCTCCAAGATGCATCGCTGACCTCTGCGGCTCAGACTCTGCTAACAACTGAAAACCAGTCTTTCTTCTTCTTCTCCAGTACTTTCAGAAGCACACTGCTCAGATTTTAAAAGGTTGGGATACTCCTTGGAATACTGAATTTTGGTCGAAGAGCGCCCCCTCATTTATTACTTTTTCCTTTCCATATCAATGCCAACAGTTAAGTCACCACTGTATTTCAGATATGTATTAAACTCACTTTATTTGTTTTCCGTGTTTTTGTTTTAAGAAAAAAATAATTTGGATAGTTGCCACATGCCCGCTCACCCTGGTTATGTTAGTCTTAAGATCAGACAGGATGCCATTTCACCACCAGTGCCACTTTCTGGGCGCTTCTGTTTTGCCTCAGTGTTTGGGTGCAATCTGAAGAGGTGGAGATGTATTCATTGCCTCTGAGTTCCCCCTGAGTGAGCAATTCTCCATTATTAGTTCCTAGCACTAGTGTGGAATGCTAGTAACCAAACAATTTGTATGGGTTTGATTTGAATTTTTTTTTTTTTATGTTTAACTCTTATAAAGACATTTTCAAAATAAATATTTTGTATTTAAGGTTTTTTGTCTGGTCTTTTGCAAAAATAATATGCTGATGCTAATTTGACTCTTAACTATCAGCGGCCACTCAGCGATGGTATTTATTTTACGGTATGAAGATGAGAAGACTGGGGGTTTGCATGTTGGAGAGAGTCTCTGAAATGTGCTCAATAGGGGCCGGGATTAGGTTAGTTTAACCAGAGGACAATTCACAGGGAAGGACAAACAATTCATCAAGAATTCATAAAATACAGAAGATACTTTCTCCAGCTGCTATTTGTCAGTATTTTGAAAAAGTAACTTTACATGAAGGGCATTAAATAAATTAAACTGAGTTTCTGGATTGTTTTTTTACACCAACAGGATGATTTCTCCAACCCATTTTGTCAAACATGGCTTCAGACCTTTTCTTTTTATAACACTTTAAAACCAAGTTAGTCACAAGAGATAAAGGAACATCACCAATAAAATACAAATCTATTTATCAAAACGGATAGAAGTTTTTATTTCAACACAGTTGCAACTATTGCCACAAAATGCAGGATATGTTTATTTACCTCTGAAGACATTCATATTAACGCACAAGCATTGAGAAAAATACTTCCATCATAAGGACATTTTTTGTACAGGTTTCACTCTTAAATACATTTGCAAAATATAAATACGAAATGTATCTCAAAAAGATATATAAACAATGACAATTTGGCAAAACAGGTGCGAAACGTTCTGATTATTAATCACTAAGAGCATTTTCTATTTATTTTATTTCCTTGCATGTAGTGCTTTTCAAGGTAATTAGTATGAATAATGTTGATGGGACACCTCCTTAATCCTATTCTCTTTTAGATATTCATGAGGAAGCACCTACACCTCTTTCCGCTATACATAATTAACAAGGTGAAATTAAATATGAAATGAAGACAACATCCCTTTAAAAAGGTCACATATCGCTCTATTGTGTTGTGTATGTAGAGAGAAGTATTTTCCTACTTCAGAGTCAGCTGAGGAAAGAGGTGAAGTGCGCATCTACTCATCTGACTTCCCTACGTTTCCTGTGCGTGATGACATCATCTGCGTCACCAGGTCCCGCCTCTCCCCACGTGACTTTCTCAGTTGTGCAGTTGTTCTGTCAGCGTAAGGTTTCTGCTGAATTGCACTTGAACCGGAGTTTAAAAAAAAAAAAGCACAAAGATGACCGACCGGGTGAGTTTCTTTGAAGCAAATATGACCATTTCAACACAACACGAACAGAAACAAGTGAATACTTAACCTAACGTGGACTTGAGGAACGAGAAGCTTTTTTTGTACACGTAAAGTGAGCCAGCACAGCACTTAGCCAGTGTGGCAGAGTCAGATGTCATTCAAAACTTCGTAGCCCGGAAGTGGAACGGAGTATCTTGTGACCACTGCTAGCATGTAGTGCTATCACTGTTGTTGTTCTAGATAGCCTATAACTTCATATACGTATCAGCCACAAAGCTGCTAGTCCCGCAAAATGTATGGTCAATATGTACTTTGATGGAAACAAATGATGCAGTTAATACAGCTCCGTATGAAAGACTAAACCAACGATTGCATGAAGGAAGTGTTGACTGTATTTAATGGGTAAAAGGAACCAGAAGTGCAGTAAGATTAATCGAATTTGTGTTGAATAGTCAACTTACTACCTATAGCAGTGGCCATTTTTAAAGTAACTGCAGTGTACAGAAAGTCGCAGTGTTTTTAGAATGACTCTATGCAGCAGTCTACGCATACGTTTCAGTTTATTAGCTGCAGACCCAGTGGTGTAAAGTAACTAAGTACATTTACTCAAGTAATGTACTTGAGCTACTTGTACATTACTTGAGTATTTCCATTGTATGCTACTTTTGTACCTCTACTCCACTACAATTCAGAGATAGATAGTGTACTTTTACTCCACAACATTAACGTAGTACCTTTAGTTACTTTGCTGTTAACGATAACAAATATGATCAGTACTTAAATAACACTTTAGTTACATCTAGATTAAATTCACAAGCTACCCAGCATTAAATTAAGTATTTCAAGTTAGTTGCTCCTTTACCAGCTGTGATAATTATAATAAAAACATGTCATATATATGATTCTGAAATGGGTCAATATGCATATGAGAAGTATTACTTTTGGTACTTTAAGTATATTTATATGCCAATACTGTTACTTTTACTTGAGTAACATTTTTAATGCAGGAATTTTACTTATTCCTACACTCTGGTACTTCTACTTTTACTCAAGATCTAAGTAAATCTCCCACGTCTGTGTACACCTAGTTGAAAGTGAAATTGTTGCAGTTGTTGCAGTCTATTACCTGCATGGATATTTCTAGATGTTCTCGCTTGCATAACATAATACAGTATATATTTAAGTGTTTAGGACTGACACAACAAGATATTAAAAGACTTCACCTTGGACTGTAAGGAAATAGGATGGAGAGGTTAACAGATGATATAGCAAATAATCACCAGAATGTTCAACAATTTAAATCATATTTTTAGTTCAGCCAACAGTCTAAAATCCCCCCAAACAATCAGTTTGATATCACAGAAGGCTAATAAAAACAAGTAGTATTAATGTAAGAGAAGCTAGAGCCATTACATTCTTGACACCTGTGTGTAATAGAAGTAACAGAAACAATTTATTGACAATTAAAATGAGTGGGGTTTAGATGGGGTTGAAACTGGTTTAGATAGTTTGAGAACAAATAGTCCACTAGCTTCTTGTTCAGAGCTGTGAACTGCATCTCACTTGCCAAGTGGTGGTTAGTGGACGTCAATTCATTTCCTTTTCACTTGGAAGAATGAATTTCATTTCAATTGTTGAGGATGTTTCAATTCAACATTTCATCATACTGAAATGTGTTTAAAATGTTTAATCCTTCAAATTTATAACAATATAGTTAGTCTAAATTAGGGTTGCATGATTTGGGGAAATAATCTAATTGCGATTTTCTGACAGATATTGCGATTTGATTTGCGATTTTGTTTTTAAGCGACCCAACGGAAGTGTATTGTAAAATGCGGCCATATCTCCGGCTAGGAAGGTCGTATCAACGTACTCCAGTCTCTAGCACCCCCGCAGCCCGAGCTACGAGTGAAAGAACTAAACTTACATGAAACTTCCGTTGGGTTGCTTTAAAGTCAAGCTTCACTTTAAGATTCCCCCTGTAATAGAAACATGTGATGGAGCATTACTAACCTGACCCAGATGGTTTGTTTCACCAAACCATCGAGGAGAGCTCCATTGGAAGCCATTTGGAAATAGTATTTCAAAAAGACTTGGCAGGTGATTGGATCAATCTGTCTATCACCTTCTATCATGGGCCACTTCTGATTGGTTAACAATGGCTGGTACATGTGGAGCACAGCACTTCTGATTGGTGTGGATCGCTTTGCGATTTTGAATTGCATCATTTCAAATCGATTAATCGTTCAGCCCTCTAAATAAGACATACTACAGAAAACCACCATAAACTACTGCCCTCTATAAATAAGGGGCAACAAAAAAGGAACATTATAACAACAGACCTTAAATCCCTAAGGTCTGTTGTATAAGAATGCTTTTGTTTTGGCTAAATGTACCGAATAAACTGGTATCATAATAACCCATTCCGTCTTAATATGTCTTGTCTAAATCAACCTTATTTTCAGCTTACTATAATAAGAGAGTGTTCCTGTTATTTAGATCCTGGGTGTCATTAACACTTTACATCTAAGCTGATTACATGGAAACAATGCAAGGAAGGCTCTTTGCACAATCTCTGGTGCATAGGAAATACTTTCGATCTCTATTAGACTTTGGTTTAAAGGCGCAGTCCATTGGTCCTATTTTCAAGTACCATGTTATGATGTTCAAATGATTAACCGCTGAAATTGAATTCATTGTATATAATATTTCTGTTAGGAAAATAAAACATAGTTCACGCATTAAAGATTCTGATACCAATTATACATTAGAGTTACAGTTGGCATTTTGCATACATTTTTACAATATTCTCAGTCACCACTTAATTCAAGATTCATTTGAATACTTAACCCACCCTTTCTATTTCACTGCTAGCATCATCAATCTGTCATGAGATTACAGGTTGAAAATGAACAATCATTTGTTGTATATTCCTATTAATTCAACTTGTTTATTCAAAACCCACTAGGAAGGTTTTTATGCCACAAACATTTGCTCGTGATTTCATAGTCTATTAATCTTGCTTTATCAAGTGTGGCTGTTTGTAATATAATCTTGGTGCCAAATAAAGGCTCTTCCTAATGCTGCACTTTTAGTAGCTAGACCATCACAGTGGATCTTGAAGGTGCTTGCTTCACCCAGCCAGTAGCTAGCACTGGGTCTGACTGTTATTAGACCATATTGCAACGGTCTCATGATGTAATGCTGCAGTGTGAGGCAATGTTAGAACATCACTCGGGTCTGGCAGAGGCAGAAGAGCTTAAAACGTTGAGGTTGTTTAAACCCAAATTCCCCACAATGTGACGGGATCATATAATCTGCTCAGACGTCCTCTGGCTGTGAAAAGTGCAGTTTACAGTATGAGGATGTTTTTCAAAGATGAATTCTTTATCAAATCCTGCAGGGGTTCACTTTTCAAAAAGAAGTGTGATTGTGTAAAAGTCTATTGAGAAAATGACCCTACCTCCTACATAAATAATTACCACAATCACATGGATAAATGTAAGTCTTTTTTTGATACGGCACATTGCTTATTTAGTTACTTAGCTTCCATGTAGAGTAAAATAGATGATGTATCTTGGTATGCTTTAGGGCAGGTCTACCTAGTGATTGACAAGTCACTTTTAGCTACCTTGGTTTTATAGGGATGGTCATATGATTAACTTGTGCATTACTTTGTACACACTTTCTAAATATATATAAATCACACACATTGCGACTCAGCAAGCCATTCAGATTTCCCCCTGCCTTTATCACAGGAAGGTTCATTAGAATAAACGGCCTCCCATCTTAGAATCTCCCAAAGCTTAAATACT